AATTGAGGATCCACGAGCCCAGCCCACCAGTTCTGCGCAGCCTCGGAAGCCCGTCTTGAAGCTGCGAGCTGCAAGCCCTCCTTGTGGGAGTCCGGGTGCACCGTTCGATCGCGCAATGGCCGCTAGCAGAGGACGATCTTCGGCGGAGGTCTCGCTCGCATCGAGGTGTGGGGAATGTTCGCCCTCCCGCCACGGTGACTGCACAGGCCCAACGGCCTGTTTTTCGAAAGTGAGAAGAGAGATTGCTCTGCGATCTGCACCGGTCGCGGCGCCCCGACGCGGCCGCTAGACACCGCGCAACCGAAGCAGGTCGCGTAGAAGGCATGCTGCAGGATGTCCATTTGGGTCAGTATCCAGACCAGGGCGGCACAGGATGCATATTTGGGGACGAATGAGCAACTACCCGCTGCGTTCCTTCAGCCGAGATGTGCCCTCGGGATGAGCGGCGAGGGCTGGCGTGCGAGGATCAGGCGCCCTTCTGAAACAGAGAAAGGCGCGATCGCAGGGTTGGTGGTTGTGGACGGAAGGGGGCGGGAACCGCATGCTCTGAGTCCGCCAGCCGAGCCCTGGCCCGGGCACAGCAAATATGAGCGCGGCGCGCAGCCAAGCACGGGTCCTTCTTGCTTCAGTCACCTGCATCCCTAGATGCCACTCTCAACGGCGCGGCCACGGTCGCCACCCACGGGGTCGCTTCGAGCAATGCCGCCGATCGGTGCGGCGGACCCGACGCAAATGCGAGGCGCCCAACGTTGCGGAAGTGCATCCGGGCAATGGAATCGGTAGAGGCAACAGCACGCGTGTGTGGCAGCAAGGGCGACCGGCGTTGGCCTGGGCGCTACATCCCCGGTACCCCGAGAGGTGCGAGTGAAAAGGCCCAACCTCCGGCGACGTCGCCGAAAGGCGTTGGAAGGACGGCTGGGCGTCAGCAGCGTCGGGGGGACTTGTCGCAAGGGGGGATGGAGGGTTCGTCGGGGCCGCCGACGGCGTCGGCAGAGCTGCCAGGTCTCCCACCGACGCCACGGACCATGGGCGGTGACGTCGGCCCCCCCGGGCAACGGGGAAATCCGGCGACCGAGATTGGGACTCTAGACAAGTGCGGCCGCCCCTTTGTTGGCCGTGCGGCCTGCCGATCGGCCCGGTGGTCGACTAGTTGGACCACGAGGAGGGCCTGCCCTTCTTTTGCGTACGGTATTGCAGGTCTGCGCGTTTGGCGGGGAAGAGCGGAGAGCGGCGCCCCCCTGTGAGGCCGTCGTGGGAAGATAAAGAAGCCGTGCCGGAGTACATTTGTAATCCCACCGGGAGGGGCTAATTATTCTGAACGGCAATTAATGATACGCGGTCCGGCATATTCCGCCGTGGGAATTTAGGGATAGGTATCGTCGGACGGCACTGCGGCACCGCCAGCGTTTATTCAGCGCCCGATCAGAGTGTGGAGCCACTCGTTGGGATGCGGCGCTTCTGGGTGGGGTCGCGCCAGTGTGCGTCGTCAGGGGCATCCGACTGAGGAGGTAGCCACAACGGCTGGCACTACCACGCCGTCGCCCACACTGTCAGCCAAGCCTCCACAGCGGCTCCAACGAGCGTGACCGGCATGCACTGCACCCATCTCAGGCTGCAAGCCCGTGGACGTGAGTCGGACTTGCAAGATTCAATCCGCCGGAGCGCGACTCGCGCACACCCTCCCGGCTTCACTGTGCAGGTTGGACTTCAACATCGCGCCCGCCCCAGACATCCCGCGTTTAAGATGTGGCATCTTGAGCTGCAATTTTGCAATCTGCGCAGGCGTATTTAGCTGCAGGCCAAGCTTGAAGCACCGCGTGTTGTGGCAACACAGCGATGCAACACATCGGCTGTCACACTACCGCGGATACATGAAGTTTGTCTGTATGTATGCATGCTGCCAGCAGACATTCTGTTCCTGCGTAACAACAGACCACTAGTACTAGCGGCCAACGTTTCTGGTCACCGGTGGTCAGCACGAATTCAGATGCCGCGATAATCCCAACGGAAGAAGTTAAGAACACCGGTGGTATCACAGATTGCCATCGCATGATCATGTGATGTGTAGTTACGACCCTACCCTCATTTGCAACGAATCGTCGCCTCCACGCCCCATTAATGCTAACCCTACACCCACATGGTGGAGTCGGCGGACGCCTCAGTGAGTGTCGCTCAGGAACTGCATTGTTGGTCAACTCGACAACAATATGAAACACAATTCATCCCCAGACAAAGATAACCATGATGGCCATCTTCGGTGCCAAGGACAAGTTGGACAAGTTTGTTCCATGGAGGATGCCATCAATCACTCTCAGCCAAAACGCCCACTCAGACGTTGTTCTCTCAGTATGATGGCCCACACTGCTCGGCAAGGGAATGTACAGATGCTACCCCAAGAAGAATACACACAGCTCACCATCCTTGAAAAGAGATTGACCAGATTCCCAGAAAGGGAATTTTAGCCTTGAAGCCTCTGCGCAGTTGCAACGACAGTCGACGAATCCACCACGCTCAGTCAGCAACTGTGGAAGACGCTGCAACAACTAACAGAAGCCTTTGGGGCGCGATCAGGGGAATCACCATCAGGAAAAGTAGTTTAGCGTCGGGAGCTGTCAAACCGTCATTCATCAAGAGCAGCCTACAGCCACGCGACATGGCCATAGGCTGGATCTGAGCGACAAAATGTAGGCGATGAACCAACTTGGTTTTGGCGTTTATATCTACGTTTTTGCGTTTATGCTCTGTGCGTAAGAACGCAAATACAGAGAAGGCGCCATTTTTGCGGCTCGTTGGCACACCCGGGTGACATGATGAAGTCGCGTACAATGACCAGTCTTTGCCCCCTCGAGCAGCACAGCATCCACTTCGCCCTCAGCAAGGGCAACGACGTCGGCGTCGTCGAACAGAAGTTCGTTTCTGTCCACTCCACAGCGTGTGGCTGCCACTCCCTTGGCAGGAAAGTGATGAAGACAGCGCGGCGCCGCTCGCCTTAGCATTCGCTGACCCATTGAAGGGCCCACGGGGTGCGTTAGTGGCACCTGTGCAATTGCGCGCGCCAGCAGAATCAGGGCTACTACCGATATCAGCGATGCAGATATTTGTCCCCAGCAGAAATAGTGACATCAGTCTACCTGACGTCCGAGTATAGGACAACGACTGGGCGCAGGGTATGTCACAAGCTCCATGTTTTGCGAACGGCCACAGTGACCATTCGTAGTGATCAGGAGCACATGGGCCACAGCGCATTTATGTTCATGATTCATGAGTCATTCAACCCATGCAGTTGCTCTCAGGAATCCATATCGTTCATTGCGTAACGATTTCAAACGCCCCATCGCATCGCATGCAAAAGGTACACATGCGCATGAATTCCCACATTCAGCGCGAAAATTTACGAATCGGCCTTTTGTAAAGCAACACAAGTGGGGTCGATGTCCTAAACATCCAGTGTGGACTCACATAGAGGGTTCTGGTGGATCTCTTCAATGTTGGTCAGGATCAATCAACGATGATGCATGAATTGCTCGGTCTGCGTTTTAGCGATTACTTGGAAACAACATTGTTTCCACCAATTAATCGGTGTCGCAGTGTGCAAACTCGGATGCAACGCAAGTTTCGTGTCCAATGGACCACCAGGCGCCATTCCATGAGAAAGGGTGCCCAGCCGATTAATGGGGGTCCTTTGCTCACAGCCCTAAATAGATGATCAAGAATTGGACATTGGATTCACGCCAACCTGTCACAAACACGTGTGCGCATTCGTGTGGCAACATTGCCACAGCAAGGGGTTATCAGACAATAGTGTGATTGGAATTGAAAATCAATTGAACAAGTTGCGCAATAACTGTGCCATCCCATGTAACAATGTTGTCTCGTACATGTGTCCCATATCGTGCACAAAGGGCACCCCCAGACCCGACCAGCGATACAACGCGCTGGCGAATGGTGGTGTCGAGGGCCCTGAAGAGCGGCCAGCGTCGTGGATCACGATGGAATACCAAGCACAGGTGTTGTGCCTTCTTATGGTAGTTTGGTGATGCATTCTTGCGTTCTGATCATCAGAACAACATGCACCAATGGTGCGACCTTGCGTGGCTGTGCCATAACGTTCTGACAACAGTTGTTGCAAAAAAAACTTGCGTTTAATGCGGGTCACATGTTGACAACATGACCGCCACCCTGGTGTACTAAAACCTGCAACCTGAGATTCAACACAAACATTTATGTTTACGAATGAACTTTACGTTTACAGTTGTAAATGTTTGCTTGGCGCAACGCCGCTGGGCAGATCTGCCGCGGCCGCAGTTTTGAGAGAATAACCCCGTGCCCCCAGGCAGCATCACCTGAACTGCCAACGGGTGATGGTTGCAATGGGGTGTACTGCAGCATCCAAGGCCGCCGGTGCTGAAAGCAGATTCCGGTACAGTGCGATATATCAGTGATGCATCATCACTGATGCCGACATCGATGTCGTCGGCGATGTGAGACCGGTGCGCAGTCAAGGCGGGACGCGGGGGTTTAGTCACCCCGAACAATTCGAGAATAATGGCCCAGCAACGCGAGGAGGGCCCTTTCCAGGGTTGCACGCGGATGCGAAAAGTACACACGAACAACCGTTGGCGTCGTTTCAGTCCGTCGGAGCGTGATATACTGCTGCCGGGAATGCGCGCTATAAATGGCGCGGTTTGTGTCCCACGTCCACGACACCTCAGACACCGCAACCAACACTGGTGACGGCCGCATGGACGGCGATCACTGGTGTGAACTCGGCCGTCAACGCATCCTGTACAACCCACAGGCATCGGGCACACAGTCCACCGCCCACCCACAAATACGGAGTCACTCCTCCACCCAGCTCCAAACAAGTTTCTTTGAATCCCCGCAGTCACTTTGCGGGGTCCCAGGAACACAACCGGCCTGTCCAGAACCAAATCAGTCCCCCAGGTACCGCCGGCCCGCGTCCTTGGACTTGGACGGGCCCCGAGGGCGCCCAGAGCGCCATGGACCGGCGCCACGATCTGCCCCGCCTGGGCTCCCTGTGGCGCCAGCGCAGCGGCAATTCATCGGCCGAAGTGGAGGAGGGGGCGGGCGGCCGGGAGACCCCCGTGGCGCGCACGCTCTCCAAGCTGGGCTCGCAGTGCATGCAGGCACTGCCCAGGATGCGCAGCGGCACCTACGCCCGCGTGGCGGGCGACACCGAGGCCGTGCCCCTAATGGAGATCCCGGATTCCCGCAAGTCGGCGGGGGGGGATGCGATCTCGCCACGGCCGCGCACGGAGCCCCTGCGTCACGCGACGCCCTCAGGGCGCGTCCGTCCCGCGGCCGGCGGCCCGGCGGGCGGGGGCCAGTCGGGGAAGGGGCAAGGGGCCGGATCCGGCAAGCCGGGCAGCAGGATCGCCAAGTTTCGCAACCACTACCTGCGTCTGGCGGACCTGGAGGAGATTTCTGAGGAGCAGACGGGCAACAGGCGGGAGAGCGGGCGCGGGGCGCCGACGTGCTCGACCGTGAAGCACATGCTTGCGGCTGCCGGCCGCAACGCGACCCAGGGCGGCGGCCCGAACTCGAGGTGGGCGTCATGGCGCCGGAAATCGAACCTGAGGAACCGAATCCGCGCGCCGAGGATTTTGCGACGGCTCGGAGCAGTTGGGCGGACAGATGTCCGGGAGCTGACCCTCCGTGGGGCCGTTGACCCGTGGATCGGTAGATCGCCGAATATAATTGCAGATGGGGGCCGCGGTGGAGGCGCTTGACAGCACCCCTCGAAAGGGTCCGATCCGTCTCCGCCCTGAGCGCGCCAACGCCGCCTCGCCCCCCGCATCGCGGGCACGATCACCGCTGCAGCAGACGGGGCGCGCACCTCACGAACCCTTGTAGGCTCTCGGGTGCCACTTTTGAATTTTAGGGATCACAGAAACAACCGTGACGGCTTGGCTCGAATTTGGCAGGGCCCCCGGCCAACCTGGCGCCGGTCCGCCGCCCAGCTACTTCTGCCGCGTGCTGGAGCAGGAGCTGAAGCGCGTGCTGCTGTTCGCGGAGTCCTTCGCGGAGGAGCTGTGGGTGCGCCTGGGCGCGCTCTTCGAGGCCATGGAGGCCCTGGCCGCGGACGTGAAGAGCAACCCGGACACCGCCATCCCGACGGGCAGGGTTCAGGAGCTGTCAAAGCACGGGGACTTGATAGGTGTGTGACCGTCCTTACCCCCCCTCTCAGGGGCTGATGGCACGCACCTCTGCGGCCATCGCGAGGGCGGCCGCCATCACGCGAGATCGTGGTCGGTATCGCGCGAACGGGACTTGAAGGGGCCGATCGTATCGGCGGTACCACTGTATCGTATCGCCGGCGCCACCGCACCATGTTGCCGGTGCCATTGTATCGTATTGCCGGCGCCACTGCACCGTATTGCCGGCGCCGCTGCACCGTATTGCCGGTCGATGCTTCGCCGCTTTGGGTGGGGATGGGCGAAGGGATGAATGAGTCTGTCGTTGAACCAGCTTGGCAATGCGACACGCTTGTCTTTTGTTTGCCTCTTGATTCGAAAATAATGCATCACATTTTCGTGTGGAGGTGCCTCCACCGCACTGTCACGCAACATGTGGGCACTGTGCCACCTAACAAGAGAGTGCACGACGATGCAAAGCCCCTAAACCATTCGAATCCAAAGCAATACTCGATTTCAAGAAAGGGAAAAGAGAAGCTCGCCACATCGGGGCGGACCTGGCAGATCAGCAATTAAAGCAAACCGCATTTGTCTCCTTGTTTGTTCTTAGAACATCGACATAACGAATAACATTAGACCAATGAACGGAGACGAGAAAAGCGACATGCTGTTCGTGTCACGCCCCTGGGTTTCACGCGCGTGCATTTGATATGACGGGTGGCGATGCACCGCACAAGGTACGGGTGTAAGGTACTGCGTCGAAACCCGCCAGACGTGAGGAGACAAGTGCAGCCTGAGGCCTGGGTGAATTCGGCAGACGCGACTGGATGTCAAGAATGGCGACTGGCTCGGTTTGCTCTGGTTGCCAGCTCCATTACCTACTTTTGGTGATCATTCCCCACATTCGATATCCTTGCGCTCTGCAGCTGTGCTGACAAGCACAAGGCAATTCTCTCCAGGGTGTTCGTTCTGCGTACAATAATGTATCCACGTGTGCGAATGAAGTGGTGAATGCGCGGCATCGATGTGCCTTTCATTCTGTGTGTGTGCACTGCTAAGTGGCAGGCACGAAGTCGAGTCGCGCGTTGGAGCATTCACTCGTGACGTTCTAGGGATTTCTATGTTTAGCGGATCTGAGAAAGTGGGTCTTTAGGAGACTCCTACAGTTCGCGCATCCATTGACGACAAGGTGTCCGGTCTGGTCTCTTGTCCGTGGTGCAATGGTCCGAAACAGAAGATCCACAAAACGTCCATCTCGCGTGCCGCGACAGCATGACTCATCAAGTATGACGGGGCACACTCGTGACGGCGTGCTTTTGCGACTCAGGGGATGACGTCATCCTCCTTGACGAGTTCCTTCGACAGAACGTGGTGGCCGGCGCGTTTGTCGCCCAGAAGCACGACAGCAAGGTGTTCAACGGCAGCCTGCGGTCCCCCAGCGTCCCGGCGCAGATCAGCCCGGCCTACCTGCAGGCCATGGAGAACTACCTCATGGGCGGCATAGCGTACGACCCGATATTAGTAAACCTCAGCGACGCGTACAGCCAGCTGAAGGCGCTCAGGGAGAAGGCCTTGGCGGACGGCACGGTGTGGAACGCGCCGGAGGTGTTCGAGAGGAAGACCGTGAAGTACTGGGTCCACCCCGCGAACGTCCTGCGGGTGAAGTGCATGCTGATAAAGCACCTGCCCATACTCATCTACGGCGCGGGGAAGGGCCAGGCCGACGCGAAGAGTCGGCTGTCGTCTCTGAAGGAGCAGACGCAGAAGGACGGGACGCTGATATCGTCGGTGTACTTCGACAACGACGAGCTGCAGACGTACCACGACCGCATACGGAGGGAGCACGGGTCGTCGCTGACGCGCATTCGGTGGTACAACAAGCGCGTGCTCACGGACGACATGGAGACGTTCATCGAGAGGAAGATACACGGGGACAGCTGGACGGGCATAAAGAGCGTCAAGGTGTGTGCTTGTGAAGTGAAGGAATCACCGACTCTGCTTTGCTCAGGCAAAATAGGAAGCTGACGGCTACCTCATTGCCTTGTTCTTAAAAAATCATGATGATGATGATGAAATGAAGGAACAGAGATTGCATGTTTGCCGGCCTGAGCCATCGCCCGCCTAGTTGGTCACCGAATGGTAGCGACCTGCGAGCAGCCCTGGGCCTGCGCTTGCTTGGTTGGTTTAGTGTTTAGGGTTTATGAGCCCTGTATGGCGGCAGCGAATTGATGGGCTAATTGGTACTGGTTTCAACATTTTTGGTACACCTTTCATCATTTTTGGTGCCGGCGCGAATTTGGTACCAGGTTCAATATGCCTTGGTACTAGTTTCAATTTAATTTGGTGCGTCGACAGTTTGGTAGCGGATTCCATATTGTTAGGTACGGAGTTAAATAGGTTCCGTTTATTCTCTCTTGCGAGACGCTCGGTGGGCACAGGTAGGGCTTTCCGCAGAGAACTGGTGTGTCTAGAGCGCAGTTGTGTGTCGTCTGCTGGCCACAGAAGCGACTCTGGCGTTTGCCGTGCTGCTCCACAGGAGAGGTCCCCGATGCCCGCGACGCAGGTGCCAAGGTTCATCAACGGCGAGCACGTTGAGGCGATGGACGCCGAGGGCAGCAAGGGGGAGCGCCTCCTAGACATACAGACAAAAGTCTTCCACGAACGAAGAGAGGTGAGCGGACGTCGTGGGCGATACATAATATGTCATATAATTGCGCGGATCGCCACTGCGACTATGAGCGAATCGCGAGCCAGCGGAACTGCATTGAGTGACAATAACTGCATGCGGCTGGCAGGGCTAAATTTTCAAAGAAGAAACAAGGCAGACTAAACTGGTGAAACTTTAATCTTCAAAGTGCAACATTCAATTTGATGACTATATTTGGACCTGCCTTTACATCTGCAGGAGCCCAACGTACGCACAGAGTACGTTCGAGTCGCCTTCCAAGAGTCCAGTTCGAATGAAGTCCGCATTTCGCTGGACAGTCATGTCCGCATGATTCGAGAGAAGGGGGTGCCCAGGGGTCCAACGGGCTGGCACAGAGACGTCGTGAAGAGTGAACCACAACCGAAAGATGTCGTCAACTTTCCATACTCGATATTGGAGACCAAGGTGGCCAGCGAGGAGCCTCCTGAATGGGTTCAGGTGAGTGCTTTCGTCAGTGAAATGTTCCATACCCTGTACCAATAGATTGCTACGTTTTGGCAATGACAACGGCGCTGCCCTGTGACAGCAATTGATGCCATATCCCACCCATGTCCTGGATTTCGAATATGGCATGAGAGCCATTTCCCAGATGCACGTCTAGGATATGGCCATATCCTGGATATGAACGCTCCGTATCCAGGATATAGGCACCCACATCCTGGCATGTGGCAATGATTTTGGCGAAAATGTGGCAGCTATATAGGCGAAGATATGGTCATATATCGGGATATGCATGGCCATGCCCTGGAATGCAGGCACCGAAATCCTGTGATACGGCCATAATCTGGATATGTACATTCACGATAGGCAACTTTTGCCAACGAACACGTGAGAATTCGTGCATGCACAGTGCCTAATCATCCATTGCTTATGTCCAGGAAATTCTGAACACCGGCATGCTCGTCGAGGTGCCCAAGTTTTCCAAATTCCTCCATGGGACGGCCCTTCTTTTTGGGGACAGTGTCAGCCACTCTCCTTTCTGGTTTGTTCCCGACGACCATGACCGGTACACGCCTGCCACCATTGCCGAGATGGCTGACCAATCCGATGTGTACGACAAGGTAAATGCTGTTCTTTGCTTTCCTACAGACAGATCCGCCTTTTGCTGCATGGATCGGAACTGGCTGCCAGGCTTGCCTCTCTTTCCACATCATTGCTTTGACGTCTCCAAGGCGTGCGCATGTGCCCATGCGGGCAGCCAATTGACTACACGATTACTTGGGTAGTGCAGTTGCTCCCTGCCTCTCTGACCGACAGAAACTATACCCTCGCACGTTTTCCTTATGTGCTCCGGAGGATGCTGACAGAACATGTACCTGAATCATCCTCTCCATGGAGAGGGGGTCAAAGTTTGCGACTCGTCGCATCATGACTCATCGCCCCATTGTGCCTCCTGTAGAAAGCCGGCCAGCGCGGCGCCCAAGCGCCCCACCAGGCGGGCACCACCTCCAACCGTGTGGAGCTCAGCGAGATCATCGTGGCGCAGTCGTCGCAGACGGCCGCCGGCGCCCGAGAGGTGATCCCGGTAGCGGAGCCCGACACTGCCACCAAGAAGAAAATGAAAAGCAAGGGGGTCGACAAGAAGTCCGTGCGGACGGCGGCCCTTGTCCGCACGCGCATCGAGCCCAAGACGTTCTTCGCCAACGAGAGGACGTTCCTGGCGTGGCTGACCATATCCGTGCTGGTCATGTTCATGGGACTGACGCTGCTGGATGGGGCCAGCCTTGTGGGCGGCGCGACGGCGGAGAGTGTGAAGCCATGCGAGGAGGACAACTCGTGCAGGGTCCGGGAGGTGAGCAAACGGCCATGACCGCCGATAGTAGGGAGCCTTGTCCGTCAGCCAAACTCGGCATTATTCATCTATTCATGTATTTTTTCCGTTTTTTCTGGTATTGCTTTCTATTGTATGTATTTGCTGCGGTGGTCGTTTTGGCCAATGGCCCAATTCATGGTATTTCTAGTTAACGTGGCCTACACTTCCAAGTCCAAATCCCATCTCCTAAAAGAGTTGAACAATGTATGGTGCACAAGTGGCACCACTAGGTTACCGAAGTGGGTCACCAATGCACTGACATGCATTCACACATCACTGCTTCCAAGACAAATGCATGGGAACCTGTTGGGAAGCAAGCAGCAGAGTCATGATAATGTGTTTCATTGCTGAAGCAGATAATGCTTTCTGCCCATAAGTGAATCTCAGTCGAATCAAGTTTCGCGTTCACTCACAAGTCTTCCGCATCTCACGATCGGCAGTCATAGGATGGAAATGCTCCGACTAGCCTTTGTTCGTGTTAAGAAAACAACGATCACCGCAACGTTGCCGAGTGGCCCCATGAAGCTGAAGCTCGCTCTTCAGCAGCACTCTAAACGTTTGGGTGTCCTGTGAAACAGATTTCTGGCGTCTTGATATCACCCATGGCCCTGGTGCTGATGGCATACTCACTGTACCAGTACCGGAGGCGCAACATCCAAATCCTGCGCAGGGAGACCGTCCGGTTCGATGACCAGCGCGGTCCGGTCTTGATAACCGGCCTTCTCCTGGCGATACTAATAACAGCATTTGTCATATCCGCGAGGGCCAAGTTCTAGCCGATGCTCTTCGACCATGCATGTCGGGACGGGGCAGGCCGAAGGTTGGGCGAAAGGAATTGTCGACGGAACATTGCGTGGGCACAGCGGTTGCAACGAAGTGTCAGGAACACAGAAGCAGTGACCGGCCGCTTCTGTGGCAGTTTCAAACAGCGTCAGGCTCCAGCAGATTCCTTTTTGCAGGATTTTTATACTTGTCTACAACATGGGGCTGTTTGATTGTCATATGTCTAATTTCATGGGACCTTTGGAATAACTTGCTTTTGTCAATTGGCAGACGCAGGGTGGACACTCATTTCTTTCGCGAGAATGCACACGCCAGATGCAGAGTGGCTTATTCTATCATCTTGGGGAGTGGTGACTGGCAGTTAGGTATGTCTTGAGCGAGCACCTTGATTGGCAGAAATAGAGCGGATTTTAATGTATTTTTTCGAGTGTGCATAAATCAGAGGCAAGGTGGTTGATTATATCATACTGGGGAGTGCTTTGGCCACCTGCCTTCAGGTAGTCTCGAGCGAAGATTCTGGCTGAATCCAACCTGCAAAGGGCAACAGTGAATGGAATTGCGGCTTTGGCAGATGCTTATAGTAGGCAAGCCAACTGTGAGTGACAGAAAACAGTGAGTGGTAGGAAACACAACATGGTCTTTGCGCCGCAAGGCCCGATGTTTTTTTTGGCTCGGTTCCAAGGTAGCTCGAGACATGCTTTTTGTTTTCTTCTTTTCCAGTGAGGAGGTGGGCTTTTTGGTGTTCATGAGCATCTAGATCGGCTTGCGCTTGCAGTGGAGCCGACCAGCGGCGTGGCTGTGGTGCGCATCTATGGAAACCTTGAATTTGAAATGCTGCCGTGCACCTGCGCGATGGCAGCAAAGAGGCATGGAATAGAATGAAGGGCGAACTCAATCTTCGAAGAAACCAATTGTATCCAACGGTTGAACAGGGTGGGTGGCCAACATGGGCACGTCTTCGTGACAAACCGACTGTGTCCAATTGTTAAATAGGGTGTGGGGGTGGCGTGAACGTGGGTGCTTGTCTTTTAAGTCTGATGGAAACGCCCGCCCGCTCTCCATTTGGTGCGGTCCTCAGCTGGCTGGTGGGTGCTTTCGGAACAATGACTCGCCGAATGTGGTTGTGTGTGCATGTTGGTGCACCTGAAATTATTCGGGCTGCTGAGAACGCCGCCTTGATAATGTCTCCAGGTAGATTTCCTGCAACACACTATGGGCACCGAGATTGCTGGCGAAGAATTTCGGGGAAGCAGACAACAACGAGACGCGGACAGCAACAGCGAGCATGATCACACGTTTCGCGCAATTCTTTTCCAAAGGGAATTCAAAATATTCTTTGCGAGAGTTCTCACAATTCCTTGATTTCGATCAAAGGGACGAGCTCCCGCTGGTAGTTCCAGGAAATCGCAAGCTCTCAAGTTTCCAACAGGCAAACCCGTCGGTCGTGATGCCAACAGCATGTTTGTGGACCCCTGGCGGGCGGAAAAGAACTTGGAACGATCAACAATTCCCAGTGACCAGTGGAGCGCGGGTGGATGTTGGTGCTTCAATGAATGACATCGTTACGTAGCCCGACTTGCTGCAGCTGCTGCAAATGCCTCACGTGCTTGGGGCGCAGCGCCGAAGGCGTTAATGCAGCCACAACCGGAGATACTTTCTGCCAATCCGGTCGCCCCTTCCCCTCTCCCCACCCCCACCCACGGCCGGTGTTCCAACACGACAATAGTTACAGACATTGCGCTTTGGCGTCCATTGCCTTACTAATCCGTTCACCATGAGCAATCCACTTGAAAGTGTCCATTCGCTTCGCACTATTTAACGCCACACTAGAGGTCCATCATATCTGAATCAGCGCCCCATTTGTTTCTTGTTTGCTATTTTGGCAGATTGTCCATCTCTTCAGACCCACTTCCCGCGCATGTGACGGAATTTTTCACCTGACCGTGGCACATACCCAAGTCAGTTGGTGGCTGCGGCTCCTCGGGAACTGCGAGCCTGATCGCCGGATTGCACAGCGGAAACGCAATGGCGGAAATCATGGACCAAGTTTACAGCGCCGCACCGCAGCAAGACGCCACTGGGCAGGGGATGTCTATTCCCATCCATAGGCGGCTTCACCCATCACCCACTGCCCATGCGTCCATGCAAAGATCCCAGCGTGGACAGCCCACGCATGCTGGCCAGGGGACCAACGCAGCAACAATGGAGCTAACAGTCCCGTTAATGGGTTTCAGCCAGGGGCGACGTTGGGTGGGAGCGCCAGCAGGTCTGGGCCGATGGTGCCTTGGCGTGAGTCGTTCAGGTCCGTTGATCACGGATCACGGTTCCTGTCACTCCTGTACTTTGGGTCAGTGTAAGACCGTCGGGAACAAAGTGTCCCACAATTCTGTGGTTCGAGTGTTGGCGGCTATTCGGACTCCACCATCGGCTGCCCCATACCCTTTCGCAGCCGCCCGGCCCACCCTGATATGGTGAGTTTCGGTTGGCTGTGACATGGCGTGGAAGTGAAGTACAATGTGCTGTGCATATCATGTGCCCGCCAGACCTGCGAGCCAACAGCGAGTAAACCAACATGCTTAAATTGCTTACGCGTATGGCTGACTGTTCTGTCAAAGATTCAATTCCGCTGCAAGTAAGGGGCTTCCTGGAATCACGGCCCTGGACCCTCTCCACCGTAGTGTCGACTTTGACCATAGAGCGACAGAAGCGTAGTGTCCAACCGAAGGAGGGTTCGGGCGCCTGCCCGGGATGGGTGGTTTGGCGGGTGAGCGCTGCGGGGGGGGGAATTGACGCGGGATCCTCAGGTCCCTTGGGCATAATCGCCAATTTTTTTCAGTGCATTCATGATGACCAGGCTTCGCTGGCAGCCGGCGCCGACGCAGTTTCGTATGCAGCGTGCGGTTGGCAGTCGAATGAATTTATTGCGGAAAGGAGTGATGCTGTGCGTTTCAAATGAAATCCGCACACGCTTACAGAGAGCAGCCCATTTCGGCCGGCATGACGGACATCGACTACATTTGCCAGGGGTAATCGAAGCACCTTGCAGACTGACATCAACGGATACGTTGGTGTCTGTCACGAGTGCATCAAAGATGCGAGCCAATCTTTCCCCGTCCTTGGCGCGCCGCACTGTGAGACCGCAACAGCCTGGCTCCATTGGGTAACCAGTTGCCAGCGCCGTCGAACGGGAATTGGGGCCCAGTTCCAAAGCAAGGGGAAAGGGAACTCGCCGTTAGACACATCCACCACTGCCATTCAGTCCTAGCTGTAGCGGCTACAAATGGGGACACAATGTTGATTCAAAAGGTTACGCAGCGGCAAAGGCGCCGCGGTTAAGGCCGCCCATTGACGGTAATCAAGATGTCATCTCTCGCGGTGAGCTTAGACATGTGTAATAGGCCAACGCTGCAGTGGTCAGTCTAGATTCCGCCAGGTACAATGCTCCGTGTTGAGCTATTACGAGAGCTCATCGCTTCGAGCGAAATGGAGGTGTACTGGGAGGATTCCAGACACAGTGTTGAAATCCCACCGATCTTAGTGAGACCGTGAAAACATGCTCGCAATTACCATTCGCGGTCGAAGTTTTGGGCTTGTTCGGAAACTCTTTCACTTGGCGTTTTTATCCCATTGTGCGCTGTCAACCTGTCACAAACTGTCTCACTGTCACATTGAGCCACCATCGACATTGCCTTGATGCTGTGTCTGAAAATTTTCAAGTACACATTAAAACACACAGGCGCGCATCACAATCGGCACAACATTCCTGCGTCGCAACTGCGATACAGCTGACAATTGCACCTGGAAAGCGGGCGCGCATTCCCGGCAGACATAAAATAAACAAGGACGTGCCCATACCACTCCCCACACCCTGACAAATACGTGGATACAACTGGTTTTCGGAGGTTGAATCGGTCCTCCTTTCAGCTCCGCAGCTCTAGAGCTACGAATATCTTCGTTGCCATCGTGTAGAGGCACGAAAGCAATCAAACTCGAGGGTACGAAAAACGCGCGAACAGTCCCACTACGGGGCGGCTCCCCTGCAAGCGCGTATTGGTGCAGATGTTCATGAATACAAGGGCACCCAGTGGGTGCCACCCACATCTCGACTGGACAAAAACATTTCCTGAACAGCATGAACCCCTTCAGAGTTTCTGGGGCAAAAGCGGTGTTCTGTTTCCCTCCACCTGTCTCCACAGTCTTCGTCCCATTACTTGCTGCTCTGTTGTTAGCACAGCGCTCGCCAAACCTGTCTATGTACCTTTCTCCCACTGCCCAGGGCATTGCAGCACTATGTGACACTTTCGAGTCCAAATGCCGGTCTTGAATTGTATTTCCCACTCAGCCCCTTGAAGCAACGCTCAGATAGATCATATAGTACATTCCCACGTTGTAAGCGCCGCAGCTGCACTCTTCGCTACCCTATGGGCTTTTGTATCCCGCCAAGATCCTCGCTCGACACTAGCCAAAATGCCGGTGACCAATGCGCTCGACAAGATGATACAATCAGCTACTCTGCAGTGAGCAATACACTCTCACAAGATTGAATGAATATTCCCCACTACCCTCCTCATTCACTCGAGTCTAACCTAAGGATGGGTTATCAATGCGCTCTTCAAGGTGATGTAAAAGACACTCAGCATCTGAGCGATGCACTCTCGCAAAAAATTATGTCAACACCCACTTGCCCCTGCAATAAGCACAGTCTCCTAACCTTTTGAAAGCGGGCACGCCAAAACCGATATAATGCAATTTCTCCGCAAGGCGATCAAGTAGTCTTACTGCGTAGTCAACTTTCGAAATCCTGGAAAGCGAGATCCTCCTGGGAGGTACACATCCTGTTGGGATCTAACAATATTTGAAATTACCACGAAAGTGGCAGGTAGCCGCTTCTTTCTTTCCGACAATTCGTCGCAACTGCCGTAACCAAGAAGTGTTCCGCCGACAACTATTCTCTCCTAGACTTCTCCCCGCCGCGTCTTGCACAATTGATTAGCAGCCGCTAGAACTTGGTCTTTGCAGATATGACGAACGCCGTTATCAGTGTCGCCAGGAGAAGGCCGGTGATCAAGACTGGGCCGCGCTGGTCGTCGAAACGGACGGTCTCCCTGCGCAGGATTTGAATGTTGCGCCTCCGGTACTGATACAGCGCGTATGCCATGAGCAGCAGAGCCATTGGCGATATTAGCATGCCGCATATCTGTTCACAGCACAAGAAAGGTTACCAACCTGGGCGAAGAGCGAATGGCTGACTTCTGGGGGTATTTGACAACGTCTCGATGATTGACTGACACAGAAGATGTACAGTTATTACATATCCTTCCGATGACGGCCGATGGCGCGTTTTGGAAGAGATGACAGGGGTATTCGATTTTGGCTGATAGTGAGCGATGAGACAAGTCTACGATCCTTTTGATCAGCGGGAAATGCCATCTCGTTGCCGGGTTTTTCCCCACAGGGTCCGATGACAAATGTATGAGTGAGTCAACCGTATATGTTTGGTGCATTTCGTACACATTAACGCCAATCATTCGCCACACGACCCACTCCTGTCATTTCCACCGCTGCAGATGCGCCCTCTCTTGCTGCCTGTCAAAACCCAGCCCTTGTAGTGAAACAGCAGTCGACAAGCAATTTGGGCACTGATCCCTCATTTCCCCGGGGATGCCCGATCGCTTACCTCCCGGACCCTGCACATCTTGTCCAACTCACAGGGGGGCACGTATTCCGACTGTGCCCCACCCGCAATGGGCGCCCCGTCCAGCAGCGTCAGCCCCATGAATATAACCAGCACGGATATCGTCAGCCACGCCAGGAACGTCCTCTCGTTGGCGAAGAACGTCTTGGGCTCGATGCGCGTGCGGACAAGGGCCGCAGTCCGCACAGACTTCTTGTCGACCCCCTTGCCTTTCGTTTCCTTCTTGGTGGCAGTGTCGGGCTCCGCTACCGGGATCCCCTCTCGGGCGCCGGTCTGCGACGACTGCACCACGATGACCTCGCTGAGCTCCACGCAGTTGGAGGTGGTGCCCACCTGGTGAGGCGCCTGGGCGCCGCGCTGGCCGGCTTTCTGGAGGAGATACAACGGGGCGATGAGTCACGCAAGGACTAGGAGATTGGCGGAGAGGACAATTGAGGCAAATCGTTCTTTACATTATTCGGACAGGATTAGGGCAACGCACAAGAGTGTGTTTGCTGTCGATCAGAAATTTCTGATCAACATTGAATTCAGGAAGTAATTGGGCAATGCGCATGTCCATGATACCGTAGCCAACTGGCGTCCCACATCCTAGAGATATTTGCCAGACCAGAAGACAAAACGAACAGAAGAGGGTGGGGCCCTTCATACAGTCTCCAATCAACTTAGGAAGGCGATCAATTTATAAGAAAGCCGAAAATCGCATTTACCTTGTCATAGACATCGGATTGGTCAGCCATCTCGGCAATAGTGGCAGGCGTGTACCGGTCATGGTCGTCGGGAACAAACCAGAAAGGAGAGTGGCTGACGCTCTCTCCAAAAAGGAGTGCCGTGCCGTGCAGGAATTTCGAGAATTTAGGGACCTCTACAAGCATGCCAGTGTTGAGAATTTCCTGGGCAAAAAACATGAGCCAACATTCATAATGCCATCCCAAATGACATGCTTAGCCATTGTTTTGTGGGAGCGAGAAGCCAAGATCCGGCCCAATGTTGTTGAGACCCTCTGTTCCAAATTGGATGCGAGTCTCGTTGTGACAGCGGCTGATATCGCGTTTCTCGTTAAGGCGGGGTCACAGTCTTTTGAGCCAGACCAAGTTGCAGCCTCCACATCCCGCGAGAAAAGCACAAAATCCAGGTGAGTCGGTCGGGTTGCGTTTTCCAAACATAATTAATATTGTTGTTGCTTGCATTGATGAAACGTGCAACCAACACTGCTAGTGTGGCAGGATCTGCGACTTGGCACCCAATGGACACTCCCCAGCCACTTTCATATTGCAGTGAAATTGTGATCAGTTTTTGATGATCTGCTGTGCAGACTACGATCGATGCATCACTTCTCCCGCTCACCAGGTAGCACAATTGAAACCAATAAACCATACACTAGCTCTGTTCCAAAAGTCCTGTTCGTGACAAAAATCACGCAAACGGAGGTCAAAACGTGTGAGTCAAAATCCTCGACCAAAACAACTTCAATTGGCCATGTTCACAGCTGTTTGTAGAACACTTAAGCGTGGAAAACTGTGACGCCATTCTTGAGATGCGCAAAGATGAGCACAGGCTCCACTTTTCCTTCTGTCGGGACCTAGAGCGGCGTATGGGGAACTAGTCTTGCCTTTTGAAGGAGATGGATCGAGCTGAGTCTTCTCTAGGAAATATGAATGGCCTGATGGTTTGGTATCCAATGAAGATTCCGCTAAATTCAAAACTGAATCCACAGAGCAAAAGGAATCGGCTTGCCACAGAATTTTGGATGTCAACAGGAATTTTGCGTGTGTTGTGGCTGAAGATGGGGAGGCTGTGCATACTGACGCGAAATCGAGACCGGCCTAGGTCGATGACAACATGACGAGTCGTTGAAATTGACAATGTCAAAGCATAAGCTAATATAAAGGAAGAGATGGTCCACAGAGAGTGTGACTGCGGTGATGCCAAATTCTAGGAAATCTGTAGCATTGCATATTTATTGCCTACAACAAAGTTGTTGAGTAATTTCGGGAAAATAGGCTGACACACATGGAATAAGTTGAACACAAGCTATGGGAATTGAGGCCCTGACGAAGGTATATAGGGAAGCTTTCGATAAGGCTGTGCAGGTCTTGCTGTATAATGATGAACAACGTAACCAAAATCCCAATTAACCCAAAATCGACCAAGGAATCCGAGCCTGGTGACAGATTTACTAATTGAGTTGATCTTGCCAGGTTATGGCAAGATTGGATAACGGACAAGACTTATGGAACGGAGGTAGTATGTTGACCATTGTGGCGAGCAAACACTCACCTGAACCCATTCTGGCGGCTCCTCGCCAGCCACCTTGGTCTCCAGTATGGAGTACGGGAAGTTGACGACATCTTTCGGTTGTGGCTCGCTGTTAACGATGTCTCTGTGCCAACCCGTCGGGCCTCTGGGCACACCCTTCTCTCGGATCATGCGGACGTGGCTGTCCAGAGAAATGCGGACCTCATTCGAACTGGACTCCTGGAAGGCGACTCGAACGTACTCTGTGCGTATGTTTGGCTCCTGTAGAATAGGCAAGTGCGAGTACTGGAAGTCAAACGCTGACAAATCGAATGTTAGAATTGGAATTCTAACGTTTCCAGTATTTGATCTGTGATTTCTGCAATTTCACCGCCGTTCTAATGAACGAAATATCTATAGTCCAAAGTGATAAATATTTCATCGACAGAATTGACAACATTGGTGCCATAATGGACGAGATGTCTGGCTTGAGCAGCATTCACACTATGACGGTATGCAGTTGAGCTCTGCATTTGCATTTTGCAAGCCGGTGCTGTCGGCGTGCCTTTGTTGTAATTGAACAGAGCGCAGCTGCCCTGCTGCTCGCTGGAAATCACAGTTGCGCAGAGTCAGTGAGCAGACTTATGACGTTTCACATACGGCGTTGGCTCACCTCTCTTCGTTCATGGAAGACTTTTGTCTGTATGTCTAGGAGGCGCTCCCCCTTGCTGCCCTCGGCGTCCATCGCCTCAACGTGCTCGCCGTTGATGAACCTTGGCACCTGCGTCGCGGGCATCGGGGACCTCTCCTGTGGAGCAGCACGGCAAACGCCAGAGTCGCTTCTGTGGCCAGCAGACGACACACAACTGCGCACTAGACACGCCAGTTCTCTGCAGGAAACCCTACCCGTGCCCACTGAGCGTCTCGCAAGAGAGAATAAACGGAACCTATTTAACTCCGTACCAAACAGTATTGAATCCGGTACCAAACTGTCCACGTATCAAATAAAATTGAAACTAGCACCAAGACATACCAAGATACCAAGACATATAGATGAATATATTGAATCTGGTACCAAATTTGCGCCGATGCCAAAAATGTTGAACGGTGTACCAAAACGATAAAAATTAGTCATCAATTCGCCGCCGCCATACAGGGCTCGTAAACCCCAAACACTAAACCAACCAAGCAAGCGCAAGCCCAGTGCTGGTCGCAGGTCGCTGCCATTCGGTGACTAACTAGTCGGGCGATGGCTTAGGCCGGCAAGCATTCCATCTCTGTTCCTTCATTGCGCAAACACGCACCTTGACGCTCTTTATGCCCGTCCAGCTGTCCCCGTGTATTTTCCTCTCGATGAACGTCTCCATGTCGTCCGTGAGCACACGCTTGTTGTACCACCGAATGCGCGTCAGCGACGACCCGTGCTCCCTCCGTATGCGGTCGTGGTACGTCTGCAGCTCGTCGTTGTCGAAGTACACCGACGATATCAGCGTCCCGTCCTTCTGCGTCTGCTCCTTCAGAGACGACAGCCGACTCTTCGCGTCGGCCTGGCCCTTCCCCGCGCCGTAGATGAGTATGGGCAGGTGCTTTATCAGCATGCACTTCACCCGCAGGACGTTCGCGGGGTGGACCCAGTACTTCACGGTCTTCCTCTCGAACACCTCCGGCGCGTTCCACACCGTGCCGTCCGCCAAGGCCTTCTCCCTGAGCGCCTTCAGCTGGCTGTACGCGTCGCTGAGGTTTACCAATACCGGGTCGTACGCTATGCCGCCCATGAGGTAGTTCTCCATGGCCTGCAGGTAGGCCGGGCTGATCTGCGCCGGGACGCTGGGCGATCGCAGGCTGCCGTTGAACACCTTGCTGTCGTGCTTCTGGGCGACAAACGCGCCGGCCACCACGTTCTGTCGAAGGAACTCGTCAAGAAGGATGACGTCATCCCCTGAGTCGCAAAAGCACGTCGTCACGAGTGTGTTCCGTCACACTCAACCGTGTGGGTCATCAAGCTTGATGAGCCACCTGTACTCATCACTGCCCATGACGTAGACATTGTAGCGATTTCTTGTTTCCAGAAATTTGCACCGACGTCAAGTGACTAGACAGGACAGTTTGTCACCACTAGATGTGCGGATTGAAGGAAATTCACCAAATATAGGAATTCTGCCTCTCTCACGGGAGATCTGAACTGCAACGCCTGGCGTGACTTCACGTTGCTACATGCAAATGCAAGAAACATCGATTCAGTGTGTTCATCATCTACTCGCTTGTTCGACTGACCAACGCCCTGCGATGTAGCGCGTTCATCCATGGTTGTACTGAGAACGAACAAACTTGTGTTAAACACCAGTTCGCCCGTCCAAACACCTGCAGGGTTCAGGAACTTCGCCAGTCAAAGGCAGGAGACGGAGGAACTGCACATCTCGCCATTCTTAGCTTCAACGCGTCTGTCAATTCCACCCAGGCCATGCATTGCATATATGCATGACATACATCTGGCTGCCACGTCTGCCTGCCACGGCCTGGCCAGCTTCGACGAGGTGCATTGAAAGCACGCTGCACAATTAGAGCATCTTTATCGGTCGGTGCTATTGCACCGGCGGAGCTATCCAGGAACGGTTCTCATTGGCTGCAGTGCCACCTCACTAAGGCGCCATTTGCCGAATAGCACTGGTGCTATCGCTCCCCTGCGCGCATCCGCAATGGCGGGTGCTATGCCTACGCCAAATAGCATCACGGCAGCACTACAATGTTCTGCGCGAATAGCACCGGTGCTATTCTGGGGAGCTATTCAGTCTCGAGCGGAGCTATTCTGGCCCCGAATAGCTCCGCTGGGCGCCGAATAGCTCCGGGGGAGCTATTGGGGAGTTATTGCTCCCCAACCGTTAATGATGGTTTTTTGACGTGCGGAGCTATTCGGATAGCCGAATAGCTCCGCCGGAACAATAGCGCCGACCGATAAAGATGCTCTTAGGCTCTTTCCTATCCAACGCATCCGCACCAACGTGGGTCACGCGCACAACCCAAATATCGCACCAGCGTATTGCGTTTTCACCTGTGTGCAAGGGTGGATACATTCCCTGTGACTGTGCGAGTGATTCACACATTCACACGCCACACTCGCTGGGCCTCGCCGGCACACGGCGACCGGCTGCACCCCTACGCGGACTGTACGAGAGCCCCACTCAAAACCTTCGCACGTAAGCCCCCGCGCCGCGATCTCGCCGATGGCGGCTGCAGGCGCGACTCTCACTGAAAGGCGCTCCCGCGTCCCGTCAATGCGGGGACGCGCACCTATCAAGTCCCCGTGCTTCGACAGCTCCTGAACCCTGCCCGCCGGGATGGCGGCGTCTGGGTTGCTCTTGACGTCCGCGGCCAGCGCCTCCATGGCCTCGAAGAGCGCGCCCAGGCGCACCCACAGCTCCTCCGCGAAGGACTCCGCGAACAGCAGCACGCGCTTGAGTTCCTGCTCCAGCACGCGGCAGAAGTAGCTGGGCGGGGGACCGGCGACTTGCCGCCCGGGGGTCCTGCGAAACTCGAGCCGAACTGTCAAGACGGTTTCTGTGATCATGGAAGCTGAAAAGTGGCATCCCAGAGCCTGCATGGGTTCATGGGGCGCGCACGCCGTCTGCTAAGACGGTGATCGCCTCAGCGAAGCGAAAGGCGCGGCGACGCTTGGGTGATCCTGGGAGAGACGGAACGGGCCCCTCCTAGGATGCTTGACACTTTGACTTGTTGGTGAAGCACGAGGCTGGCAAGTGTCTTGCATGTCAAATGTCTCCCCTGCAACCCCAATCTGCGAAGTCCATGTGCGGAGGATCTACTGGTCCAAGGGTCCGTGGCCCCCTGCGGATCAGCTCCCCAACATCTGCCCACCCGGGCGTCGCGCCGCGGGCGCAAAACCCTGGACGGGCGGATCCGGTTCCTCAGATTCGATTCCTTGCGCCATGACGCCTCACCTCGAGTTCGGGCCGCCGCTCCGCGCCCCGTTGCGACTGGCCGCCCCTAGGATGTGCTTCACCGTAGAGCACACCGCCCCCCCTCGCCCGCCCTCCCGCCTGTTGCCCGTCTGCTCCTCAGAAATCTCCTCCAGGTCCGCCAGCCGCAGGTATTGGTTCCGAAACTTGGCGATCCTGCTGCCTGGCTTGCCGGATCCGGCCCCTTGCGCCCTCCCCGACTGTCCCCCGCCCCCCGGGCCGCCCGCCGCGGGGCGGACGCGCCCGGAGGGTGTCGGGTGGCGCAGGGGCTCCGTGCGCGGCCGCGGCGAGATCGAGTCGCCCGAGGCGGCCTTTCTAGAATCGCGGATCTCCATGAGGGGCACGGCCTCGGTGTCGCCCGCCACGCGGGTGTAGGCGCCGCCGCGCATCCTAGGCAGTGCCTGCATGCACTGCGAGCCCAGCTTGGAGAGCGTGCGCGCCACGGGGGTCTCCCGGCCGCCCGCCGCCTCCTCCACTTCGGCCGATGAATTGCCGCTGCGCTGGCGCCACAGGGAGCCCAGGCGGGGCAGATCGTGGCGCCGATCCATGGCGCTCTGGGCGCCCTCGGCGTGGACGGCAACTGCGGGAACAGGGTTGGTGGATTGGTTGCCTGAGAGCCCCGCGACAACCAGTTGGACGCGTTGAAAGGGTGCTGTTTGTGGAGAAGGTGGGGAGTGACTTGTGCCCGGGGTGGATGGGAGAGCGCATGGCGTCCAGGGCGAACTGAGGGCCGTACAGGGCCTCCGTCACACCAGTGATATCCTAATGACTCGCCGTGTGGTCGCTTTCGCGGGCGTCGCGGCAGGTGGTCAAACGCAGTCAGTAATGGCGGGCGCTGCGGTTTGAGGTGGTAGGTTCTGCTGCCCGAGATGTGGCTGTCACCGATTGGTACATCCCCCGGCGCATCCCTCCTGTCATGATATGATGTGTTAATGCACAGATGGAGGCGTGGTGGTATTTGATTATGTGTTGACGGGCAATTATGGAATTAGTGTGGTGCTGCAGCCGCCGACAGCAGCCGATGTATATGGGTCTGACAGTTGATGCAACTGATCTTTAACAGCGGAGCGCGGTTGCACGTGACACTACGCTGCACGGGAGACATCGGTTCGTAGGTACCGCCAGGCGCCACCGCGTCCACTGGTGTCGTGTCCGCATCCCCCCGCGAGGCGTCTTCGGCCTCACATTACCCATAAACAAGCCTGACCCTTTATTTACTCTGCAATAAGGCAATAATTGCCTTTCGAATTATGCTTTGACTAATATGAATTCTTGGGAATGCGTTCATAAGCTCCATAGTTGGTGCAGCATAAAACCCCAATCCCGTTGGGCCAGCACCTGGCACGTGCTGAAGAGCCCGCTTTTGCACACCCCGCAGCTCGGCACATAGGTGTCGGCGTCAAATAAAATGTCGTCACAGTGGGCAGCGCCACGTGGCAGTTCGCCACGCTGGTGAAATAATATTACTGCCTGCACCAATCGGTGACTGCTTGCACTAATTAGTGCTATAAGTCACGTGCACAATAGGTCCGCACCTCAGTTTTAGGTCTAGTTTTAGGGTTTAGCTGAGTTTTAGGGTTAGGGTTAAGGTAGGTTTAAGTTTGGTTTTAGGGTTTAGGGGTCAGGTTAGATTAGTTTCGAAGGGATTTTGTGCAAGCAGGCTTGCTATTTACGCCATAAACACATATCGTATTTCGTTACTATACGTAAAAACAGTTTTTATGTTCTTACGTGCAAAAACGTGCAAAAATAAGTAAGGGAAGACGCTATGTCGATTTTGGTACGCTCAGCGTCAATTTGACGTTAAGCTCAGACCCCACCATCAACCCCCACGCTCTTAGTGTCAATCCTTATGCCGAAGCCAGGGTGACTCAGCAACATTACCTAACAGCGGTATTCAACTTCCAGGTGTTTCTAAGGACAAAACAACGAAAGTTGTGCTAATTTCAGTGGGCTGAAAAATGGGATTCTAAATGCCATTTTAAGTGAGGCCGGCAGCCTCAATGGATGGAAATTGATCCATTCTAAGGCCTTCTTTGAAGACTGAACACTTGCAACAGGCTTAAGATCATGTTAGGGGTTGTTTGCCGTTTATCTGTGGCGTTTTTAGGCACCTTATGCCGATTTTGTCTATAACATAATCTCTCAGCGTCACAGGTCGTCCCCCCGGCCCCCCTCCCCCTCCCCCTAACGTCAATTTGAGGCTAAGCGTACCAAAATCGACATAGCATCTTCCCTAAATACAACGTGAAAACAGCCCCGCGAACATAAGGACAGTACATACAGCCTTTGGGACTCCGGGGAATGGCATCCAGACGCATTGTAATGGGCAGAAAACGAATTTTGTTCCACTTTATCGTGACCCTTGCTAAGTGGGAAGCGGACGCTGTGTTGCGGACGTTCAAGGGGGCGGAGTACTGATCACTGTATGCGACTTCCATTGTGTAAACTGGGTGGCACACTGGGCCGTAAACACGTAAAAACAGCAGTAAAAATAGCTTGTTTTGCAAATTTACGTTTTTGCTTGTCAAAAGTAAACGCAATAAGGCAGACATAAACGTAAATAACAAGCCTGGGTGCAAGCAGTCACCGACTTGGTGCAGTCAGCAATAGTACGCCCGCGCTGGTGGGATCCGCCTCACAAATCAATGGCACGATCTCGCCCTTACTGGAGCTTCCCAAGCCTCCATCATGCAACCGAGCCTGCAACATCGAACGCTGGTACGTGCCCAGTGGGGGCATGTATCCGGTGGGCTACACCCCGTGGTGAGCGCCTTAGAGCTCTTTATCGGTTGGTGCTGTTGCACTGGCGGAGCTATCCAGCAACGGCTCTCATAGGCTGCCATGCCACATTGCGAAGGCGGCATTTGTGGAATAGCACCAGTGCTATTGCTCCCCGGCGCGCATCCGCAATGGTGGTTGCTATTCCTATGCTGAATAGCATTGCGGCAGCACTACAATGCTCTGCGCGAATAGCACTGGGTGTCATCCTGCAAGCGGTGCCATTCGGGCCCAGAATAGCACCGCTCGGCGCCGTATAGCACCGGCGGTGCTGTTGGGGTGCTATTGCTCCCCAACCGTTAATGGTGTTTTTTTAAGGTGCGGTGCTATTCGAATAGCGGAATAGAACCGCCGGGACAAAATAGCACCCACCGATGAAGACGCTCTTACACACTCAGTCGCGCCCCCGGTTGTCAAGGTGTGCCGAATCCCCCTCCGCCCTGGTCGTTGGGGCTTGAAACAGGACGCACGTGCTCCTGCCCCTAACCAGAATTCACTCCGTCAGTCCAGAGAGCAACAACGGTGGCGAATACTCCAGCCAGCCCGCGGCCTTGTCCGCGGTTCGGTCGCTGTCGCAGCAGCAGCCGCCCTGCAGCTTACTGCGCCTTAGGCGGGCAGATGGTGGGTCGCGACGGTGCCACCGGCTCGAACACCCTCGGTCCCCCGCTCCGGAGCGTCAGCGCATCAGAGCGCGACGGTGGGCAGCCCAGCGGCGTTCTGGGAGACATGCCAGGGCGCTTTCGCTGCTAGCGCGATCGGGCGATCACCAAAACGGGAAGCGGCCGCCTCGGTGTCTTGGGCGCAGCAACGTTGCTGAGTCCGGGAGGTCCAGACAGGGACGGTCCCGGAATGAGTCCCCAGAACGGGACCAGGCACCTGTTTCACCAATGCCTCCAGGGCAATCTATGGATCAGCTGCCATGCGGTCAGGGGTCTATGGGTCAATGGTCACTAGCTAGTGACTATAGTCTGTGGTCCGCCCCGAAGCGAAGGGAGGGGGGGGGAGTCAACCGCGCCACCTGCTCCTCCGCAGACGTGCGGCCAACAGTGGGCCCGCCACGGAAAGCTGATAGCCAAGTTCCGCGACGGGCACCTGCCGCTGGCGGAACTGGAGGCCGTCTCTCGAGAGCAGGCCGCGAACGCCGGGGCGACGGACGGCCGCGGGGAAAGATCTATGGCAAGGACCCTTAAGGTAAGGCTCGACGCGTCTCGCGCAGGCCTGGCCTCGATCGCGAGCTGTGTTTTTACTTGACGACCACGCACGCCAATTTGTCGAACTGGCGCTGCGGCCTGCGTCTGGGGCGTCAAAAGGGCCCTCGTCTTGGCATGTCGGCCTTGCATCACTTCGAGGCCTAGGCTTGGGGCCCCGCTGGAGTCGCCGTGGGGCCCGGCCATGAGGGGTAAAGGCGCACGGCAGTGGGTGGGCCCAGTGGGTGGGTGGTGCCGTGCGCCCTGGACAGCCTGTCAGCCCACTGTGGCATGGCGTTGACGCTGGGCTTTCGCGCCATCTGTGCCGTCCACGCCTCGTCGCGCAGGACCCCCCCCCGCACGTCCGCCTGCTTGCGGACAACCCCACGCGCGTTTCAGCCAATCGGGCGAGGGGGTCCACTTGCGCGAATGGTCCCGCTTGGGAAGATGTTGCGTCACGAGTTTGGGGGCAGCGTGGGAATATTCTCAGAGTCACTCTGCGCTGTGTGATTATTCCCCTGCCGTGCAAGTCCTTCATGGGATGGCCACACCTGCACACTTGCGCATGGGCCCGTTCGGGAAGAGATTGCGCCAGAGCAAGACAGACAACGCGGGAATATTCCCGAAGTCACTCTGCGGTGCGTGGTTATTCCGCTGCCGTGCAGAATCCTTTGCGAGGTGGCAAGCCCCCAACGTTCCTGAATTCAACGCCCGTCATCCCACGTGCTGGGTCAGGCGCACTGAGTATATTCTGTTGCGAGCCCAAAGGGAACGAGTTGATCGTGCTGTACGAATTCTGCTGCACAACGCGTCTGGAGGCGCTTTCATCGCCCAGAAGCGCGACAGTAAAATTGCTGCCGGGCGCCCTGAGGCCTTGGAAAGCGCCGGAGATGCTCTGTAAAGTACTGGGTCCACCCCGCGAATGTGACGTGCATGCTGATGAAGCACCTGTCAATACCCATCCACGGGGAGGGGATGGGCCAAACCGACGCGAAGAGTCAGTTGTCGTCGCTGGAGGAGCAGGCGCGGAAGGAAGGGACGTTCATATCGTCGGTGTACTTCGACAACGACGAGTTGCAGGCGCACCACGACCGCATACGGAGGGAGCACGGGTCGTCGCTGACGCGCATTCCGTGGCAAAGCAAGCGGGTCATCATCACCGCAAGCGCCACCGCAGCAGGCATTGAATGCCATCCGCCTGTCCGGTCTGCTGACACAACGGTTTCTGCCGGCATGTACACATATGTTTCGTTCCAATCATTGTCTTGAGAAGACAGCCCTATCGTTGGCCACGAACCCCCTTCGCCTCTCCATGCAGAGGCGCGTGAAGTTAAAAATATGGGGCGTTGTGCGCGAACACAGGCACTGCTCTGAGATCGGGTATTCGACATTCCTATCCATAGCACATCAGCACTCAAAGGCAGCTTCCAGCCCAGGGACCATGGGAAGAGGTGTCTAGATACAGCGCTGAACAGGAGACTATTTCCCTATGTCCCGTACAACTTTCTGCATTGCTTCTGGGCGGTGGGGTGGTACTGTAAGATGAACAGTGTGGGTGCATTCGGACTTAATGGAGTCCACAACATATCAACTTGACGGTTCTGCCGATGATGATTCGCCACGTGCATATGCGCATATCCAGAGATGGAGGATTGCGGACATTATGGTGATGGTTCAGAGTTGGATGCAACCGGGGCGACATTGAGAACATGCCATATATGTAACCGGGGTGAACGTGAGAATACCCTGTGGATGCAGTCGGGGCGACAATGAGAACGTGCCATAGATGTAACCGGGTTGAACGCGAGAATATCCCGTGGATGCAACGAGGTGAAAATGAGAACATTCCAAAATATGGCGCTGTGTGGCCATGATCGGTCTGCAGACGCGCATGCCAACTCGACGTATTTTGCACGACCATCCTTTGTCCAGGAGCATTGCACGGGCCGCACGTCCTCAAATCAGTGTGTGCCTTTCCCCAAGGTGTTGTGCCATTAAACAAAAATGGACTGGCGGAGGCGCAAATGATTTTACTTGCTTCGCTCTTTTCTAACACTGCGCAGCTCCCTGTGATCAAGGCTAGTTGATTCAAATAAGTTGCTTGGTTCAAGCACACGCATTTTGCAATATTTCTGCCAGCTGCCAGCCTTGAAAATAAAATTGTGGAATCCTTTCCAAGGGCTGCTGCTGCTGTATTCAGCCAGCATAACCAGAAGCAGCTATCCACAAACTGGCAATTAATCCAACAAGAGGTATGTCTCCTTCAGATATCAACGTTTTCCTTTCTGGCAATTATTGCACCAGGCCGCGCCATTCACATTTTGGAGGCTGCAAGGGAAGGGATGGACTTGAGATCTGTCCGTGAAGCCTCCCGCTCATGCAGGGCCTCTGATTTGATACGTGGAGCAGCATGTCGACGACTTTATGATATGAAACAGGACCATCACGTGCGTGCCCCTGTTTTTTTACTTTTCCTCGGCTTGTTCTATACGAGAGAAGTCGGCAGGAAACTTCAGCTGAAATTTCTTCCTCGCATAACATGTTTGACCAATCGATGTTGCCGTTCTGAGTGTATTTGAAGCTCGTTGCGCACCTGTAGCGCTTAAGACTGTGCCATTTGCGACTCATCTTCAGCTCATTCCCACAGCTCCTCTGGTTGCATGCGCGGGCCATCCCAGGCGGTGTGGCCGTCACCCTTGGTGCTTGAATGGCCCGCAGGAATGCCCAGAATTTGGGGGCAGCGAGGGAAAATGCGCTGAAAAGCCATTGTGTGCGTGGGAGGCACCTGGTACGTGCTTCGTGTTTAAAGTCGGGACTCCCAACGACGCGCTGCTCGTCGGCTCGGCCGCCACCACGCACAGCGTGCGCCATGGACGCGCTGCTCGAGCCTCTGGAGGCGCTCATGGCCGACATCAGGGAGAAGTGGAGCGAGCTGAGCGGGGAGCAGGGCATCTTGGAGTCGCTCACGGAGTTCGCCAAGGCGATCGACTGGACGGTGGGCGCGGATCCCCTCGACGTTTCCCGCTCTCCTCGCGCAACCCCCGCCGCTGCCCTTGGAGTCTTCGCGGAGGGGCGCTCGGGCGCCTTGCTGTTGGATCCGACGCGGTTTCCTTGCGCCGGTTGCTAAGCGCCCCTGGCGAGGTACGTCAGGCTGCGCGCCCCGCGCTGGGCATCACAACCGTTGCGCGATTTCAGCGCGACATTTGTTTGGGAAATGGCGGCGGGCCGCATCTGCGCTCCCGACCGCTACGAGAGTCCCAAGGCGCGAAGATCGTGCCACTCTCTTCCCCCGTTTGCTGTGTCTTGGCCAGCGACGCCGTCCCCGCCTTCGCCTCCGCATCCTCCCCAGCCTCCGCATCCGCATCCTCCCCAGCCTCCGCCCGCCCCGAAGTCTGCACCGCAGCGCAGCAGACGACGGTCGCGTCCAGTTCAAAGCAGTCTGCGCGCTGCCCTGCGTTGGCCTGGCCGTGGGCAATCTTTGTGCGCGATTCTTTCGGTCGAGCTGATTTCTTTCTGATTCGGATTGATATTCTCGTCGGCGGGTTTGGTCCCTGTTCCGCCGCGTGGTGTGGATGGGTGATCGGCCTTCTGGGTGGCGTGCAGGAGCCCCTCGTCGTGTCCTTGTTGTCGTTCCACGCGGTGTTGCTGCTCCTGGTGGTAGCCATGCGGAAGAACGGATCTTTCCAGGCCGCTGTGTTTTTCCTCGGGGGTGGGTACACAACCGCGGCAGGGAGGGGACACTACCGAAATCATCCACCACCTTTCGGAAAGAGTCGACTAGCGGAATCCAGGGTGGTCTGTTTTTTTCTGTCGTCTGTCGTTCCTGTTTTGTTAATGTACCTGGGAGGAGTAACCTGCAGGCCGGTGCTTTCTGGGACATAGAGTGCTGTCACACTGTCAAGGTCACGTGAAGCGCACCGTGGAGAAAACCTGCCAGGTCCCAGGCAATTTGCTGCTGGGGTCGCTTTTGCATGTTCCTTTTTGCATGGTAACGGCCGCTGCACTACCAGCCACCTTATCCGTAAAATTGTATTGATCAGAGGGTCCACACACATTCCTTTTGCATCGATTCGCATTCATAGAATCGTTTGTTGCTGGATGTGCTTCACGTGCCAGTTGCTGCCCACTCAATGATGGTTGCTTCATATTGTTGGCAGCTCTAATTGTCCAATCGACACTGATTGTCTGTCTTCTGGTGATAATTGGATGGCGTGATCGAATGTCCACTGCCCACTTGACAGGTTGCTGTGTGTGCAATCCAGTCAGCATCGTTTTCTGTGCAGAGTCGCTAAACAAATGGATGGCAGCAAATTGGCGCACATTTGCACGCCAGCCTTATTTTGACCCAAATGGCATATTCATGAGCACGATGCTGTCAGGGCCGATAATGTTGGTTCTGTTTCTGCAACTGGTGAGTTGGGAAGCATGGTGTGATTTCTGCCGAAGTTGTGGCTGTTTCTGAAGCTGTGGTGGTGAATCGAGGGCCCACAATTCCCAGCTCTGTCCCTCTCTTCAGGGATGTATTCTGAATGCACCTGCTGTCACTCTATAAATGTTGCCCTTGCACTGTCCAGCATATTGTGCACATCATTGTGTCAACTGCTTCTCTGCCTAAAATGGCACGGTGTCCAGTCTGGTGGATCAAGATGCAGCATGAAAGAGATCACATCTCAACTAGAAGTCTTACTACCAATCTGCCCCTAGTATACTTTTGACATGGTGCAGGCAATGGCAATGTCAGACAAAATTGATTGTTTGGTATGTTGGATGAAGGGACGCAAATGGCGCTTCCTGAATTGCGGCTATGAATGAGATCCAGGGCCGCCAAGCTGTGCAAATCATAGCTTGGACAAATGGCCCATACTTGATGCAGCCATCGTTGCAAAATGCCACATGTTTTGGGGCATCCTTGCAAGTTGATAATCAGATTCTCCTTGTGCAATTACCAACTACAAAATGTGATCAGCCTGCCCTCAAGCAGGTTATCTGTGTTGTTCTTTGTCCTGAAAATGGGCAGACACTTGTCCCAGTACTTAAGGTGATGATAGGCCAACTCACTTGCAACTCTATTTGCTTCCCAAATATTCATCTACCTCCCAACACATAGCGAAGTGGGCACCCCACAGTGTACTGTCCTGCATGTGCTCATGTAGTAATGCGCCCTTTGCACCAACAGATAAACTACCTGTGGGAAGCGTCATCCCTTCTGGTGTCGCTGAAACGCAGACAACTAATGCACCAAGCATGCCAAAGGAGAGCGGAGTCTCAGGATGGACAAGACTCCAAGAAGCACAAATGAGTGAGTGACAGAAGGCAGAGCAAGCTAGAGTGCAAGAAGGAAAGGAAATGCTGCAGATAGCCAAACAATCTATGGGTATCCCTGGTTGGGCTTTTGTGCCTCGGAGTGATCCCCTTCAGGACATGTCCCTTGACCCGGTAGTCACGCATTTCTGCAGATTACAGCAGCAAGGCGAAGCCATGGAAACATTTTCGTCGAATATGGTGACTGGGTGAGGTAGGAGCCTTGGATTGCTTGAATAGCAACACCAGATGCTTTGCTTTCTGGCCACATCAGGATTTTTGTCTCCAGCGCCTGGGCACTTCATGCCATTTTGAAAGCCGTGGCTTTGGGGCCTGTTTTCTCCAGAAGACAGGATGGGGAATAAGCCACTCACAAGCCAGCGTTCAGGAACACAGTCCATCACTGTCGTTGGCGCTGAACCTCAGTGTCCAGACTTCAGGCAATGCCCACTGCTGGCAATGGCAGTATGAAGAAATTGGCTTAGGCAACAGGATGTTTCCCATGAATAAAGGATATGGGACGTAATAGGTGAAACATGTGCCTCGTGCCCAGTGATAGTGCCATCGTCTTTGTTCGCTGCTGGCCTGGCGATTCCAGCATGCACACAATTGTTTAAAAATGTCATAGGAGGGCAAGAGTCTGGGCATGTGGCAACAGAACCAAGGCATCTGCCAGGGAATCAGGACTGCACCTGTTTCTCCCCTTTGCTTATCTGCTGATATCCTTGGTGCTGTAACTGCCTCCCACCCCTTGACGACTCTTTGCTGAGACGAAGGCGAGTTCTATATTGGGATTTGGCCAAACTGCAATATCGCAACGGCTCACAATCGTCACAGCTTTCTGGACACTTGTGTGACGCATTCCCAAGCTGGCTGCCGCTTCAAGTGGCTCAGTCATCGACTCGCCTGGTCCACCCCTAGAGATTGATCGGCCTCATTTCGGCCATCTTGGCGGTGCGATCGTTCACGGACACCGTCATGAACACTGCTTTGCTGGGGCGAAATGGGGAGCTGATGGCTGCCTCCTCACCTCGATGTGCAGATTCCTGATGGCGATGATGACCACTCAAGGAACGCCATTCCAAGGCAAGCAAACATGCCCCCACCAGCTGTCCTTCCGCCCACGCAAACAAAGCCCATTTCCTCGGCATTCCTCGCGGGCAAGGTTCGACGATTCTCGCGCACCGAGCACCCCGATTCGCTGAAACCGGCCCCCCGCCCCATTTGTCACGTCGCTCACACCCTCACGTGGCCAATGCGGCCAATGCGGCCAATGCCCCGAGTCGACCAATGAGTCGACCCCTCAACCGCCCGTCAACGCCGCCGTCAACCGTGCCCCCCCGCGGCCCCCCCCGGAGCCCAAATGTGGCGACCCCGAGCGTGGGTGTGGGCCAAAGTAGATGGGTCGCGCCCTGGTGTGGCTCCTGGGTGGGCGGCCGCTCTGGGCAGCGTGCGGCCAGGCGTGGAGGGCGGGCTGGTGGCGCGCAGACGGGATTGCAGCAAAACAGGTGGGCAAACAGCAGTAGCGCTGTCAACAGGAGCGATCGACGAGTCCCCCTCCGCCGTCCTCCCCCGCTCCTCGCCCCCGGACCGGCGCCCAGACCGATGACTGTGCCTCGGATGGCGCGCTTGGGTGCGGGCCATGCGTGATCCAAGGCGCTGGGAGAGTGGCGGTGATTTGCGGTGGCTGGACGGTCCGGCGAGGGCGATTGGCTCCTGGGGGCGCTGCCGGGGGGGGGCCGCGCCGGCGTTAGCGCTGCGCCCCCCGGGCTCGCAGCTTCCTCGTTCCTTGGAAGGGGGCCGAGGCGGCTGATTGGCCTGGCGCCTGGAAAAGCGGCTCGCTGGGGCTGGTTGGGTCAATGATGCGGAGGAGCAAGCGGGGGGAACGACTGGCGGGTCGGAACAGACGGTGCTTGGGAAAACTGTCCGGCCCGCCCCCTGGCTGCCTCGCAGAAGAGCCCTCGTCGTTGAGCGTGGATTTGCCGTGGGTTCAGTCGGAATCAGCCCGCAGTCGCGAGCGGTCGATGGCGATCGGTGGCCAGCCGGCGGTCCGGCAGCTGATTGGGATGTTCCCACGCGCCTCAGCGCCCTTGTGGTCGCCCAAGGGGTATTGAGGTTCTGCGGCGGTGGTGTGTGAGGAGTGGTCCTGGAAGCGCGGCCCGGAGGGTTGGGAAGCTGCGTTTGTTGCGTTCGAGTCGGTGGCAATTGTGGGAGGGCAGGCGTCCTCTGGTACGGATCGCACCGTATGGGGCCGTCCGCGAGGCGGATTCTTTGCGATCGGCGGTGGGACATTGGAATGATGGGTGGTGTTAGTTTACGGCGTTTCATTTCGCCGCAAGGGGAGGGCGGACGGGTCGGGGGGCGCCCTCATCGCGGCCTTGACGTGGCTGGCGCCTCTGGCCGCGCAGTCCGGGGAGGCTGGATCGTCGTCAATGGCGCCTCGCACAGCGGCAGTGCCGATGGCGGGGCCGGGGGGCAATGGGTATGGCGGTCGAACGGCAAAGGCGACGCGTCGGTTGGTGATGGCTGGTTTGTAACTCATGGAAAATGGGAGTTGGCTTTCATGAACGCAACCAGGCCTGGGAGGGCGTGCAACGGGTGCTGGTCCGGGGAGGGACACCTTGTGTGCACTGTTTCTTGTCTTGTGGCGGTCATGATCAAAGTTGTTCGAAAACTGTTAGGTGTCTCCCACTGTGGCTCTGCATTGTTGTCCTAGTGCTCCATATTCTGCGTGCACCACAACGACTGCCTGATCACACCAATTATCCCATCCCTCCAGTCTCTTTTGACTCATAATTCACCCTGACCATGTTTTCCACCCTTGTTAAATTCTTTCTTGAATGCTTTTTTCCCGGTGTAGCACGCACAGTTGAGACCCTTACGGCCAAAAGGCGGGGACAGCAACATTTGCCACCTGCTTTATACCAACGTCTGACTCTCCCACTGGTGCCCGCAGACATTCAGCACACAGCGCCTTTCTGAACTCCAGGAGGGTATTGAGGACCTGCGCACAGCCCTCACAGACCAGGAGAGGGCCCTGCTGGGCCTGCGGTCCGATGTTGCTGACCTGCACACCATGATGGCGTCCTCCCAGGCGGAGACGACAACCAGCCTGGGAGAGCACAGCGCCTTGCAGACTGGCACAGCCATGCAGCAGCCAGCCAGCGGGACAGCAGGGCTCGCCCCAGAGGCACCGCCCATTCAGGCAGAGAGAGGCTCGGCTCAGCATGGGGATCTGGAGGCTACCCACTCAGGTGCAAAATGCAGAGACTTTAAACCAGAAACCTCCAGGTTGCACAAGAAGTCCGGACTGTTAGAGAGCTTGTTAAGGAAGAGGCCCTTGCCTGCTAGCGGGCTGGGGGCTGTGGACCAGGGGTTGGACTCGCAGAAGAAAATCAGGTTATTTGGTGGCATAGACCAGGGCACCCCACACGCCAGTTTTGCACATGCTGAACGGCTGGAGAAGCCACCGGTCTACGCAGCAGGCATGAAGAAGAAGCTGTTCAATCAAGACGTTGTAGCCAGACCCACAGGATAAAGCGGTGGCCATGACCGCGTGCTGGACAGGTTGCCGTGCAGGAGCGGCGAATGGCGCCAGCGTGCCTGTGCACGAGATTGTCCCGCGTGGGAGCACCAGGATCAGCTGGTCAGGTTGGGACAGCTGCTCAATGAGCAGGAGGCCAGGCTTGCCAAACTGCAGGCAAGGGCCCAGGGGGGCAAGCAGACAGCTGAGGAGGCATGGGGGCCGGGTGAGCATCAGGATGAGGAATACGACCTGCACCCACTTGAGGCAGCAGGGGTGCCCTGCGGTGCCGTTTACTGCACCCTAAGGGTCATTGATGAGCAGGACTGGGGGTGGGAGTGGTACCCCCCGCCCAGCCTGGGGACGTGTGGGGACCTTGTTGAGGGCATCAACTCCGAAGGTGCGCCATTTGCAGTGTTGGAGACTGCACCGGAGCAGGTAGCTGCTGGAGGTGCTGTAGATCGGTCTGTGGATGGGGTGGTGGATGGTGCAGGGGCGTGCAGGACTGGGCAAGTGCCCCGCCAAGGGTCAAATTCCAATCGTTTTGAAGGGGGCATGGAGAATATGGAAAGCGAAATGCAGCCGGAGATCAACCCTGGCTGGCACAGCAGTCGCAGTACTGTTCCTGAAGTCAAAGGTGAGTAGATTATGAGGCCTCAAACGTGGATGACAATGGCATGACATGCCTGAATTGTCGGTGAGCAAAAGTAGTTAAAGGTTTGAATCGAGCAGCGCTGAGAATTTTCAAGCTTGAATTGCGGCTCTTGGAGGACTTTGTCTCCTTGTGCCTGCAAAGGGAATAGTCGACAGTGTGGTTCTAGCATTTGGGCCCTTGGGTAGCATAATGAAGTGATGCTGCAGCCAAAATTTATCAGTATTTGGGTCCCACCTGGTGCTCATAAGCCCAGGTGCTTGTTGAGTGCTGTTCTTTGTCACCCCTGGTTCATAGAATTAATCTAAATGGAGGAATTTGCAGGGGCAGCAAACATCTGAGGCGTGCCTAACCCCTCTTGCAATGCCTGGTTGCGTGTTGTTCTGTATACTGCTGTGTGGACCAACAGCTGTTTAATGAAACCTTTACTGCATTACAGCTGCAGGCAGCCCTTGCTCCTTACCCTCGAAGGCAAATATTTCTCCCATTGCTGAGACTCCCAGAGGTGGCCAGGGAGCTGTCCAATCGGCAAACACAGATGCTGACGATTTGACGCCTGACTCAAGGCAAGGATGTGACAGAGGCGCAGTGATGGCAGGGATCGATGGGACGTGCCCTGATAGGATGGACAGCAGCAGTGAATATGTGCTGCATCGCAGGAGCTCTGGCAATGCAGGGTCGATCGCTGACTCGGTCTTTGAAATGGCGAGCCGGACTGTGGAACGCTGGAAGGATGTGCCATGGTCTCAGGGTGACTACGAATTCAGCGACGGTCAGAGCTGCTTTCAGTCGGATGTTCAGGACACTGCCTCAGATTCGGGGAGCCAGGGAGGAAATGAATCTGGTGCTGTGATTGCCATCAAGCCTCTTGAGGGGGGTGGCAAAGGCAGCCTGCCGGCTTCAGGTATGCAGCCTGGGGACACGAGGACAGGTAGCGAAACTCCAAGACAATGCCCACGCATCAGTGGCCTGAGCGAATTGCTGCCATGGCACTGTGGCAACTTCAGGTGCGATGAACGCACGATGGACTCAGCGCGCATGGCATCCCCCAGTCAATCGAGCGACTGCGGCGAGCACAAGGAGTCGATCGGTGCGGAAGACAGGCCATGGTCCCTCACTGGGGGCTACCAGTCCTTGTCCCACGGCATGGCAGGGTTGCAGCACAGCGGTGTGGGTCGGTACTCGGCGTTTATAAACCCGCTGTTTGTGACTGAGTCCACAGTGGGGACGTTCGTGGACGACGGGGACGATGCAGCATCAAACTGGAGCCAGTACCCTGACTGTGGCCCAGTCACCCCACGGGTGGATCCAGAAGCCAAGGGTGGCATTTGGTATCCCCCCGTGTACAACCCACTATTTGCCGACATCGACAACGATGGTGAGGAAGAGGAGGAAGAGGAAGAGGAGGGTGTGGAGCTGGGCAAGTTCCGGCTGCGTGGCCATGACCGGCCTATCGGGTTAGCGACCCGAGCCGTTTCCATTCACACAGCTGTTGGCGCCCTGAAGCACATGCAGATCAGGATGGGCGGCGGGACCACGGGTGCATTGGGCCCGGGATCCATGAGTATCGATGCGAGGGTACCTAATTCTTTGGCTGCTGCGACCAGGCAGCGTGGTGGCGACGCTCGTTGCAGATTGGTTGAGCGGCATTGAGGAGCGCCACTGGAGCTGCACCGCTTATGATGTCTGGTGTGCAGCGTCGCCTGGACCATTTGCATCAGAACGAATGTGGCAACGGCAGCTATGAGAGTCTTCTGGACGTGGATTTGACTCTGAATGAGTCCTGTTTGTGCTGTCGTCCGGGCGTTTAAGGAGAGTAGGAACATGGTATGCCATATTGCACGATCCAGCCCAGTTTGATTCTGCAGCTGCGCACAAGAGTCCAGGACTGTGTCCCGTTCGCCTGTGTGCGCGTTGGGCGGGTCTTGCTGTGGCACTGCATTTGCAACATGATGACACGGTGTGCAACATGATGAAGCGGTCGGCAGGGGACTATCGATTTTGAGGGGGCCAGCCGCAACACATCTGACTGGCCTTGGGGTACGTTTTCCCTCAACTGGAGGCCTCGCTAGGCTGGGTGGGGGCTGCCGGCGTGGGTTTATTGGGTTGGGCGGGGTTTGGGGGCAGTGGGGCTGTGGCTCATGCCGCTCAGAGCGCCATCGCGCTTGCGTGGGCTGTATTGGGGACGGGGATTCCTTTGGCGCGTGTCAAGGAGAAAGGTCTGGCTGTTACCCGTGTGTTGTGTGTCTGTAGCTCTCCTCCAGAGGGCTTCACACGTCGGTTATTTAGTTGAAAGGGGAACGTCCATTTGATAGTAGCCTAGTGTTGTCCAGAACGGGTGACATGGAGGTGGGAGGGTGCGTGGCTTGATGGTGTCTGTGCGGTGGTCGGATTTCTGTCGAAGCGACGGCTGGAATTGGGGAATCACATTCGATAGTTGCCTCTTACAAGTCCAGAGACGGGCCGCATGTCAGGAGGATG